AAAAAACCAAAAACAACAACAAACAAATCACCCCCCTGAGATTTGGAAACCACAGGTGGGTGTAGGGTTTGAATATTCAATTCCCTAGAGGCCCCGACACCCCTTGGGCTGAGAAAGATGTGTTTCTAACCCAGCGGCAGGCAGGCATCTGCTGCAAGCAAACACAACCCTTCAGAAGCACATGCCCTCAGTCCAGGGTCATGCAGGCCAGGCTCCATCAGGCAGGAGTATAGGGTCCCAAATTATATCAGATCCACCCAGAACAACCCACTGTGAGCTAGAGTCAACAGGAACAGGAGATGTGGGCCGCTGAGAACTCCCTGTGATAAAGGCAGTACAAAAGATGAAAAAAGACAAGTATAGTCAAATGATTAAAGAAATAAAAAAAGAGATTAGACACATAAAACAGAAATAAGATATTATTCCCTTAAGTCAGATTTTTTTAAAAGAAAAGGTAAAAGATTTATCAGATCTGAGGAGAAAGCAGAGTATATGAAATCAGGTTTTTTAAAGAACCAAACAGAACTTTTGAAAATAAAGTAGGTAGCCTTAAAAATTAAAACTCAATGAGGGGTTCGAGAGCAGACTAAACACAGATGGACAAGCAAATAGTGAACCAGCAGACAGATCTCAAAAGGTAGCAGAGAGAGGAAGAGAAAGGAAATATACTAGTGCAACGGACGGACGCACAGAATGGAAGCCCCAAGAGGAAGTGCAGGCAAAGAGACCCCGAGGGATAGGGGGCAGACACACACCCTGAGCTAATGACTTGGAACTTTTGTGAAATGAACACAGATGGGAATCCGCAGGCAGAAAGTACCAAAGACCACAGAAAGGTGGTCTCAGACACCTGTGTCCGGCACACAGCGGGCCCCGGGCAACGCTGGCTCCTTCCTCTGCAGCTTGTGCTGGGCACTCCTTTCCGCCAGCTCTGTCAGGCCTCTGTCCCAGCCGGCCATGCCCTCCCTTCCCACACTCTGCCGGGCCTTTCCAAGCCCCGTTCCTTGGCAATGAGGATCAGTTTTTAAAAGTCATCCCCAAAGGCCTGGGATTCTCTCCCCCGGAGAGAAGTGGGGTGCAGGGCATCGAGGCCTGCCAGTCTACTGGCCAGAGGGAACAGTGAGGTCAGACAGAGGCCCCCAGGGGTTCAAGGACCCAGGAAGCCCAGATGTGCATGAAGCCTTTACCAAGAGAAAGAACTAACCTGAGGACACAAGGAGTGGATGGAGAGGAAAGCCTGAGTTCCTGACTCTGCACAAGCTCAATAGAAAATGCTGAGGAGAGGTGAGGGGCTGGAGAAAAGTGGCTTCAACTCAAGCTGAGGGGCAGACCAGGGGCCAGAGGGAAAGGAACCCACTTCTCGGAGGATGAAGAGGCCTGCAGTGGGGAGACAAGGGCTGGGAACCCCAGCTCAGGTTGCAGGAGGAGCGAGCCTGGCTCCGGAGGGCAGCCACAGGCGCCTGGCCGAGCGTGTGCGGAGCTTTCCAGGGTGACCTACCCGGGTAAGGTGAGAACCTGTAACTGAGCTCTCCCAGCCGGGTCTCTACTGGGACCTTCCACTCTGCAGAGATACACCTGCGGCTTCTGAGCAGCCATTCTAGGGCTGCACCCCAGACCTGCGCATGGGGAGGTAGGGAGCGGAACCCAGCAGAAGGGAGAAGCCAGAGAAGCCCATTCCACACCCAAGGGCTTACACAAGGAGCTACCTCCATAACTCTCATCTGTTTTTGGGAAGGGGGTGGTCCTCTCCCTAAAATCTATCTTTGCTACTTAAAAGAGTAATATGTGTATCACAGAACGTTCTGAAAATGCACAATAGTATTTTCTAACATCCATTTTGTGTCTCGTTTTATTTCCTTTCAATTTTTTCCAGTATACACACATTTAACATAACTGGTATCTGTCTGTACCGTTTGGGATCCTTGCTTTTTTCCAAGTCATCTTATACGGAAATATTTGCCAGTCTTCATTCAAGCATGTAATGAAATTTCATGCACCACTTTTAACAGCTACATAAATTGCATTGTACAGCTGTAACAAAATTTATTAAAGTGATTATCCGCTGCTGGTTTTTTAGGCTGTTTCAGGTTGTTTGCTGTTTTACATGAGAAGCACACTGGGTTCCTTCACGCATCTTTCAAGACCCACTTCCATTCCCACCTCTTCCAGAAAGCCTTCCTGGATGCCTTCAACACCTGGCAACATCTCCCACCTGTGAACTCCAACCACCTGCGGTGTGTGTCTGACCAGGGCCAGCATGGAGCCCTTGTGTCACTCACTGCTCTCTGTCCCACAGTGGTGGGCTGGGACTCCACGACTCTACTGCACAGAACCCTCGGGAGCCCCCCAGCACCCTGCACACAGCGGATGATCAGTACATACGGACAGCTTAGACCCCAGACCCCTCAGACCGCAGGAGCCCAATGAGCTCCACTGGCCAAAGGGCCCGGGTTGCAGGTGCCCACAGTGGCCTGGTCTGACATTTTGCTTCTTCACTGGGCACCAAAAAGGTAATAAACCAGCCTCCCTCAGTCTGCCCTAACTTTAAAGACACAGTCATCTCCCCGTGAAAGTCTGGAGCTCCAGTCAAGACAGCCAAGGCTGAAAGGTTCGACTCCCCTCCCAAGATGACTAAAGCTTTACAGCGTGCACAACGCCGGGGACCAGCAACTGCCCAGGTCCCCACCCCAACACAGCGTGGCAGGGAAAGTTCCGGGCCTCTGGGGTCGGACACTCAGGGTTTCAATCCCAGTACCAGAGCAGCCAGGCAGGGCAGCAGACGCCTGCCTCGGGGTTTTTAACGGACACGGCGCCAGGCAGTGCAAAGGGGCTGGTCACAGCACACCCCACTCTAGACGCCCTGTGCACCGCACCCCTGCAGGGCGGCCACTCTTCACAGAAATCCGCACCTGGCCTGCACAGAGAACTGCATTTGCAGTCTCTGGTCCACAGACATTTAAGTCGAGACTCCATGTGGCCTTCCAGGCTCCTCAGCTGCAGGGCACCGTCCCCCCGGCTCCTCCATGCCACGGGGGCAACTCTGTGGTGCTGCCATGCATGAGATTCCAGCGCTGCCTGGGACATCAGCCTCCCAAAGTCCTTTCGCTAACAACACGGACTCCAGGAAGTCAGAATTTTGTCCTCCCGCCTCTGCCGCCCCTCCATCCTTGCTCCCATGACGCATCTGGAAGAGGCTGAGCTGCACGCGTGTCCCTCTCCCCGGCAGCATTTTAAGGCAGGGGTAGGTTATTCACTGCAGAGACTTGCTGATTTGCACCGAACTCCCCATCTGAAGACAGCGTGAAGACACCCAGCTTGGTGGCCGGCTGACGGCTGCAGGAGGCGTGTTTGTGGCCGAGAGGGACTTAGGCCCTGCCCCTAGCCCTCAGAGACTCACTGAACCACCTGAAGGCAACACCTTACAGACCCCCCATTCCCCTGAACTCCCTTGACGAGGTGGGCACAGTTAACACCCCCGTTACATCCATGAAGAAAACCAGCTTAAATCAGAGGTTAAGCAGCCTGCTGGGGTATTGGGCTATTTGGTGGTAGACTGGGGATTCCAATCCAGGCCATATGAGAGGTGGCGAGTCTTGAACACCAGGCTAAGTACAACCGCCTTAGCGGCCAGCACAGCAATCCAGGCTGCTTTTCCTGAGGGCCTATGGCCGTCAGCTCACCAGCTGAAGGCTCCCCCAGAACCTTGCCTCCAAAACCGACGACAACTCGCAAGACCGTCTGCCACAGAGGATGCCTCTCCCCCTTCAGCTCAGTTTAGCAAACGCTATGTGTGCACAAGGCGTCTGGCATGGCTCTGGCTCTGGCGGCACAGGGACAAAAGTCCCTGCCCTCTAGGGACACTGCATGACTGCTACAGAGGAAGAAGGGAGCC